AGGAAGGAAGGAAGGAAGGAAGGAAGGAAGGAAGGAAGGAAGGAAGGAAGGAGAGAGATTATAATGAGGATGAGGGAGAGTCTGAAGGAAGTCCTGCCTTAGTACTTGGCCATCACAGGCACCCCCGATACGAGTGACGTCAAGCTGGCCATGCCCACCCCAGCTCCCTAAGGTCAAACACAACTCTGATGCGACCCTCAATGAAATCAAGTTTGACACCCCTGCTCTAAAGAGAGCAATATAAACAGCTCACAGAATTTTATCCTTTTCTAACACCAATTACTGTGCACAATAAATGCAAATATTGTAAACTTCCCAGAGAGTGCTGCAAAGCACTATGGGACAGTATATAAATGCTGCTGCTATTCTCCTTAGCAAGTGCCGCCGTTTAAATCATTAAGTGATTAAATTAGCATATTGTATGAAGCCAAGTCAATGTCTCACCTGATCTGGGTTACTGATGAAGGGGCAGCTGTCACAGACGTCTCCAACTCCATCCCCATCAGTGTCCTTCTGGTCAGAATTTGGGATCCTCGGACAGTTGTCCAGGACATTTTTAATTTCTGGAGAAGAGGGAGTGAATGAAACATCAGCCATAAGAAGCAAAGAATATGGGGAGTTGCTGGGGCCCAGAGAGTACAATGAGATCTCTGGTCTTAAGCCTCAGTTGTGAAAAGGCTGGGAAATTTTTGGTGGCATTCAGCCGGTTCGGATTGGTTCAGATGAACCAGTTGTTAAAATTCTACCCAGTTCAGCTAATGCCATCACTGGCTGGCCCCGCCCACAGCTGTTTTTCAGGGCTTTTTTCAGGGCATTTTGGATGTTCAATGGTAGTAAATAAATAGAGAGGGAAATTGTACTTTGTTGAAGCCTTTGAGGCGAGTGGCCAGGAGGTGGGGCTGGTGTGATGAGTGACGTTGAGTTGGCCATGCCCACTCAATCACATGCCTACCCAGCCATGCCTACCCAGCCAGTCATTAGGGCAGAGAACCGGTTGTTAGATTATTCAAACCCCACCACTGGGAGGACTCTAGCATCCCACGTGCCAGATTATGTGGATCATGGCACGGATACATTTGGGAGGTTTCTTTTAATGAACAGCAACCAAAAAATAGTATGCCTAAAAAATGGTAGGGATAATCTTTGATTTACGACTAGTCCCTTAGCGATCATAGTTTCAATGGACCCCACCTCCCAAAAGCTTATAATCCGGCTGTCAAATTTCAATCTTCACCTCCCTCCTCCATAGAAACATAACAACATTCAGGAACCTGACAACAGCCCCATATTCACCAATCACGTGACAGTGATTTATGACGTATTTTCTGGAAATCGGCATTTAATTCTGGTTTTCAGGAAAAAAGCATCTCATAACGAACAATGGAGAGTGTTCATTTAACAACTGCTACAAAAAGGGTCCTAAAATCAGGTCCCCTCAAGCGGTGACTCACTTTACAACCGTAATTGCTGGGCTTAATTACGGTCGTAAGTCGAGGACTGCCTCGTATCTTCAACAAAGCAAGACAAACTGGTTTCGCAGAATAATGCTCTTGCCCAAACTCACTGTCTCCATCCATATCGTTGTCGCACAGATCTCCCCATCCGTCGCCATCGCTGTCCCACTGGTTGTTGTTCTTGATATTCCGGCAGTTGTCACAAGCATCCCCAAAGTTGTCTAGATCCACGTTTTGCTGGTCCGCATTGGGCACAAACACACAGTTGTCCTGCAGGGGGAAGGATTGGTAAGTCGGAAAGAAATGGGGAAACCAACTTGGCTTTGCAAAACTTGGAGTAGCTGACAAAGCCTGCTTGTTGAGATGTTGGCTTTTCCCTGCAACACAGTGAGATGTTTCAAGGAAAGCTGGCAAGCAGGATACGTTGGGGGAATCTCCTGCTGAGTTACTGAACATCATGTTCCCAAACTGTTGGTGTTCTCTTTAGGTATCATACAAGCTATAATGCAGGGGTGTCCAATTTTGGCAACTTTAAGGCCTGTGGATGTCAACTCCCAGAATTCCCCAGCCAGCCATGCTGGGAGTTGGAAGTCTACAAGTCTTAAATGTTTTTTTGTCAGAGCAACCTGGTCTACCCAATTATGGGATGGAGCGTACTGCTTCCATTTTCGTCTTTCAGCCGCAATCCAGGAGCCTTCACAGGCAGTCGCTTTCGCGACAAACATAAAAATAGTTTGTCGCGAAAGTGACTGCCTGTGACGGCTCCTATATTGGGGCTAAAAGGTGAAAACGGAAGCAGTATGCTCCGTCCCATAATTGGGTAGACCACGTTGCCCTGACAAAAAATGTTTCCCCTGGTATAGCTGACAAAGGGAAGAGAGCCAGTGGCCTAGAGGTTAATACATCTACCTAATATTTAAGTAGCCCGGGTTCAAATCCCAGAAGGATATGGCTAGTTGATGAGAGCTAAATAGCTTGAAATAGATCTATACATGTCCGACCCATCATGATCCCATGGAAAATGTTCCTTCCTGTCCTCTATCATTCTCTGGAGTCCATTTAAGCTCAGGCCGACTGCTTCAGTGACTCCATCCAGCCACCTCATTCTCTGTCGTCCCCTCCTTCTTTTGCCCTCAATCTTTCCCAGCATATTAGGCTCTTCTCCAGTGAGTCCTTTCTTCTCATTAGGTGGCCAAAGGATTTGAATTTCCTCTTCAGGATCTGGCCTTCTAAAGAGCAGTCAGGGTTGAACTCCTCTAGGACTGACCGGTTTGATCACCTTGCTGTCCAAGGGACTCGCAGGAGTCTTCTCCAGCACCAGAGTTCAAGATCTATACTAGTCCCCCTTTATTTCTTTGTCAGTAAAACATAAATTCAACACACAAGCCTTAA